AGGTTAAAGGGACATAAAAGGAGGTAAAGTTTTTACACTTGACTCAAACTGGTAAATGTTGACACCAGTAGTCTGCGATGAGTTATGTATATATAGTGTACTACCTACAGCATAGAAAAAAGATATATAAAGAGATACACTCAAAAACACTAAAGAAAAATCTAAATAAAATGCTAAAAAGTATTTATGTAACTCACAGTCAGGAAAAAAAATCAGACAAACTAATAACAGAGAGATCAAAGAGAAAATAACAAAAAATAAATAAAATGACCAACTTGAATCCTAGCATATCAATAATTGCATTAAATGTAAATGGTCTAAATACACCAACTTAAAAAGATTGGTAGAGTGGATTAAAAAAAATGACCCAAAGATATACTGTCTACAAGAACCTCAACTTTAATGTAATGATATAGATAGCTTGAAAGTGCAAGGATGGACAAAGACTTGCCATGCAAACATTAGTAAAAAAAAAAAGCAGGAGTGATTATATTACTATGACATAAAATAAACTTCAGAGAAAAGATAATTATCTGGGACAGAGAAGGACATTATATAATGATTAGAGAGTCAATACATCATGAAGACGTATCAGTCCTAAATATGCATTCACCAAGCAACAGAGCTACAATATATGCAGGACAAACACTAATAGAACTGAAATGTAAAATAGACAAATCCACAATTATAGCTGAAGATTCTCTCTCAAAAATTAATAGAATAAGTTCAGACAAAATCAGCAAGGAAATAGAACTCAAGCACATCATCAACCAACAGGACCTAATCAGTGTTTATAGAACACTCCATCCAAAAACAACAGAATATACATTCTTTTCAAATGTCCTTAGAACATATATCAACATAGATCATATCCTGAACCACAAAAAACCCTCAACAAATATAAAAGAATTGTAACCATGCAGAGTATGTTCTCTGACCATAAGGAAATAAAACTAGAAAAAGGGAAGACAACAGGAAAATCTTCAAACACCTGAAAACTAAATAACACTGCTAGATAATCCATGGATCAAAGAAGAATTCTTGAAGGAAATAAAAAAATATACCGAACTGAGTGAAAATGAAAATACAACATATAAAAACTTATGGGACACAGCTAAAGCAGTGCTGAGAGGGAAATTTCTGGCACTAAATGCTTACATTAGAAAAGAGGAAAAGCCGCAAGTCAATAAATTAAGCTCCTACCTCAAGAAATCAGAAAAAGAGCAGCAAAATAAACTGAAAGCAAGTAGAAGGAAGAAAATGATAAGGGTAAGAGCAGATATCTATAAAATTGAAAATAGAAATAGGGGCCAGCCTGGTGGCACAAGCGGTTAAGTGCACGTGTTCTGCTGTGGCGGCCCAGGGTACACCGGTTCAGATTCCAGGCACACACCAACACACCACTTGGCAAGCCATGCTGTGGCAGTGTCCCATATAAAGTGGAGGAAGATGGGCATGGATGTTAGCCCAGGGCCAGTCTTCCTCAGCAAAAGGAGGAGGATAGGCAGATGTTAGCTCAGGGCTGATCTTCTTCACGCACACACACACACAAAATATATATATATATATAATAAAGCAAATCAATGAAGCAAAGAGCTGGTAAACATCAGTAAGATTGCCCAATCTCTAACACGACTGACAAAAAAAAAAGACAGAAGACAAAAATTACCAACATCAGAAATGAAACATGGGTTACCACTCCACACCCTGCAGACATCAAAAGGATAATAATAGAATATTATTAACAACTCTACACACATAAATTTGATAAATGAGGTTTATCAATTCCTCAGAAAACACACTGTTACAACTTACTTACAATTCCCCCAATATAAAATGGATAATTTGAACATCCCTATACCATTAAATTAATTAAATTCATATTTTAAAACTCCTAAAAAAGAAGTCTCCAGGCTCAGCTGGCTTCATTAGAGAATTCTGCCAAACTTTTAAAGAAGATTTAAAACCAATTCTGCACAATCTCTTCCAGAAAATAAAAAAGGAAGGAACATTTCCCAATTCATTCTATGAAGCCAGTGTTACCTGGATACCTGTAAAGGAAAAACACACTCCTGTATATCTCTCTTTTACTCTCACACTACTACCACACTCACAAAACTTCTGACACCAGGTGTCAGAACCAATTCTCGGACATCAGTTTTGTGTCCTACAATTTAACTCAATTCTGATACTACCTGCCTGGAGATAGTGTCCGATCCCACAGGTTAAGGGCTCAGTCCCACAAGACTGCTCCTTCTCAATTTCAGATGCTAATTGCAAGTCTCACATTGTCATCTGAACATCTGACCTACTGGCTATACATCAGGGTTCCTGTGACCCCCTCCTTGGACTTGATAATTTGCTATAATGACTCACAGAACTCAGGGAAACACTTACATTTACTGGCTTATTATAAAAGGATATGATAAAGGATATAGATGAACATCCAGATGGAAGAGATATGTAGGCCAAGGTACGTGGGAAGGGGCACAGAGGTCCCATACCCTCGGCAGGCACACCATCCTTCCAGTACTTTCATGTGTTCAGCAGCCTGGAAGTTCTCAATCTTGAACTATTGGAATTTTTATGGAGGCTTCATCACATAGGCAAGAAGGATCATTAACTTCATTTCCAGCCTCATCTCCTCTCTCTTGAGAAAAGGGGATGGGGTTGAATGTTCCAAGATCCTAATCATGGCTTGATCTTTCTGGTGACCAGCCCCCATCCAGGAGCCCACCAAGAGTCACCTCATGTGAACAAAAGGCATTCCTATCAACTAGGAAATTCCGAGGGATTTAGGAGCTTTGTGTCAGGAACTGGAATCAAAGACCACATATTAGAAAAAAAGACGCTCCCTGTGTTCTTATAACTTAGGAAATTACAAGGGTTTCAGGAGCTCTGTGCCAGGAACTTGGGGCAGAGACCAATGTATATTTTCTATTATTTTATAATACCAAAGCCAGACAAAGGAAGTACCAAAAAAACTTATAAACCAATACCATCATGAAGATAGACATAAAAATCCTTTAAAAATAACAGAATTCAGCAATACGTAAAAATAATTACACACCATGACCAAGTAGGGTTTATTTCAGATACTCAAGGTTGATTCAATATTCAAAAGTCAATCATTATAATCCACATTAACAGGCTGAAGGAAAAAAATCATATGATCGTATCAATTGAAGTATGAAAAGTATTTGACAAAATTGAGCATCATTTATGATAAAATTTCTCAACAAGAATAGAGATATTCTCAAATTGATAAAGAATATCGGGAAGCTAATATCAAATTTAATAGTGAAAGATTGAATGCTTTCCCCTAAGACTAGGGATAATGCAAGATGTCCATTCTCATCACTGCCATTTTACGTAGTACTAGAAACTCTAACCATTGCAATAAGGCAAGAAAAGGAAATATAAGGCATACAGGTCAGAAAGGAAGAAATAAAACTTCTCAAACAACACGATTGTCTATGTAGAAAATCCCAAGAAATCTACAGACAAACTTCCTAAAACTAATAAGTGAATTCAGCAACATTGTAGGTTTCAAAATCAACATACAAAATAAATCACATTTCTACATACTAGCAATGAACATATGGAACTAAAAATTAGAAATACAGTACCATACACAAATGTTAAAAAAAAAAAAAAAGAAAGAAATGCTTAAGTGCAAATCTAACAAAACATATACAGGATTTATATGCTGAAAACTGCAAAATGCTGTTGAAAGAAATCAAAGAAGATCTAAATATATGGACATACTCTCTTCACAGATTCAAAGACTCAACATAGTAAAGATATGAATTCCTGTCAAAAGTCCAGCAAGGTTTTTTGTAGACATAGACAAGTGTATTGTAAAATTTTTACGAATTGGCCCAGGCCCTAGAATTATCTAAAATAATTTTGAAAAAGAAGAATAAAGTGAGAGAAATCACTCTATCTGATTTTAAGACTTACATAGCTAGAGTATTCAAGACTGTGTGGTATTGGAGGACAATAGACACATGGATCAAGGGAGCAGAATAGTTCAAAACGTCAAATAGAAAACCATAAAACTTTCAGAAGACATAGGAGAAAATTTTGAGGACATAGGATTTGGTGAAGAGTTGTTAGACTGGACATGGAAAGTATTATCAAAAAAGGAAAAAATTGATAAATAGGACTTTATCGAAATTAAAAACTGATCAGTTTTCCTGGTTTTGATTTCAATTTGATTTCTCAAATTCCTGGTTTTGATTTTTTTTTTAATTACTGTAGTTAAGATGTAATCAATGGGAGAAACTAGGTGAAGGATACACGGGACGTCTCTGTACTATCTTTGCAACTTCCTGTGGGCTATAATTATTTTTTTTAACATAGAAAAAAAACAATAAATTCTATTTTGGCTTGGCTAACCGTGGTCCACATTATTTCGTAAAAGGAGAAACCGTGAGACTGCGGACAACCCCAATACTCAGCTTTACGCCTAAGCATGACCTGGGACCCGAGGGGTTGGGCGGCAGAAAGTGGGGAGCCAGGGATGGAGGTATGGAGGGGTGGGTGGAGGGTGTTCCTTCGCGCAGAGAGCGCGGGAGGCGGAGTCGGCGCCACTGAGCGGGGAAGTGAGTGGCGCGCGGCCGAGTTCCAGCCCCACCTTCCGCCGCTCGTGGAGCTGGGGAGGTGACTGCACCGCGTGGCCAGAAGGCTGGGGAGCCAGAGGCCGGGGACCCTGGCGCGGTGCTGCGGCGTTCCGGACGGCTGCAGTGCTCGGCCTCAGAGAAGTGCCAGAGAAGAACTTTCTTTGCACCGCGAACATTTTTGGTCCATGGGATAGTCTCCCGTGCTTCGGCTTCCCGCTTCTTGATTGTAGGCTTGATCCCCGTGCTGCTTTCCTTCTCCCGAACCTCCCGGGGTGCAGCCGGGAGTCCTCCGGCGCACCCGAGTCTGGAGCAGAGGCTGTCCCGGCCTCCGAGGGAGGGAGGCGGCCGCCGGCCCGGTCCCCTCGCAGCCCGCGCCCCGGGCGGTGGACGCGGGGCGGTAGCGGGCGGTGCCTGGCGCTCGGGGCGCGCGCGGCATGCAGTCGCTGAACATCACCCCGGAGCAGTTCTCCCGGCTGCTGCGGGACCACAACCTGACGCGGGAGCAGTTCATCGCGCTGTACCGGCTGCGGCCGCTCGTCTACACCCCCGAACTGCCTGGGCGCGCCAAGCTGGCCTTCGTGCTCACCGGCGTGCTCATCTTCGCCCTGGCGCTCTTTGGCAACGCGCTGGTGGTCTACGTGGTGACCCGCAGCAAGGCCATGCGCACCGTCACCAACATCTTCATCTGCTCCTTGGCGCTCAGCGACCTGCTCATCGCCTTCTTCTGCATCCCGGTCACTATGCTCCAGAACATCTCCGACAACTGGCTGGGGGGTGAGTCCGCGCCTGCTCCTTCTCCCCTAATCCCCAGTTTTCCAGGGGACACTCTCCCCGCCACACACACCCACTCTATTCTTCTGACTTCCTTACATTTCTCTTTCTACCCAATATCAGTCCCCTTTCTTAGAACCTGCGCTCACTTGATAAGTTTGTTGCCGCTTTTGATTCGGTCCAGCGTTTTTTCTCCCTGTCGCTTAGAGATGCAGGTTAGGGAAACGCTTAGGACAGGTCCAGACAGAGAGACGAGGAGTCCAGTTATTTCAGCTCCCTTTTCCATAATTACCAGGATTTTTTCTATTTTTTTAATAAATGTAAGATAAAAATATTTCAAATAATAAAAACCCCAGCATCCCCTCGTTCCCCCAACCTCCAGGCTCACTCCCCAGTTGCCTGTGTGACTTCCAGACAAGTATTTCTAGTTCCAGTGTATATATGGACTCAAAACTTTTTAAAAACAAATGTAATACGTTTGCAGGAAAAAATATCATGGACTAGTCGTTCTTTTTAAAAATTGGATTAACAGAGTCACGCAGGATGAAGGAACACAGAAAACCTATCCCCTCCTGATTGATAAAGGAGAGAGATTAATTTCTCCTCTTTCCTTAGAAGGGGGGCAAAAATGGCGGAGAAGCCATTCGGAATCACTGAGTTGGAAGCAGTGTGTGGAGGTTGGGAATAAACAGACACTGCACTTCCAAAATGATCCAGTCTTTCCAGAGAGATACAGCTAGAGAGTGCATCCTTGTAATCCACATGCAGTAATGCGTTGTGTTCTCGCCAGTCTTCTGGTGTACCTTGGGGGGAAGCATGGGTGGTACCTGCATTTTCATGGGTGGGTGTATTCTGTGACCATGTCAAAATTCCTAGAAAGTAGTTGGAAATATAGAGAGAATGTGAGAGAAATGGGTCATTATATCTTCAAGCCCTGCCATTTCCACCTCTGCTAATTCCTTTTAATCTCATGGAGGGTGTTTCTTTCATCCCACCATTACTAATTTGAGATCTTCAAATTATTTCTGTGGCATTGCTTTTTTCCATTATTTGCACTAGGCTCATTGTTAGTGGATCAGGATGCTAAAATCTTTGATTCTCATCTCATCTATAATGTAAATATTTCCAAAAATGCATTAAATGTTAGAGTACATAGCGTTGACTTGAAAGTGACACATAATGCAGATAATTATAAATTGGTTTGTGGATTATAGACTCTCTTATGCACTCTGATGAAATCATTGTATTTAGGCGTTTTAAAGTTGCCCAGTGCAACTAACTCCATAAAATTGATGGGGAAACTTTTGATCATCATATATAAATTATTTCTTGAGAAAAAAGGCACAGGAGTTTTCATTTCTAAATGTTTATGAAGGCAGATTTGTGAAGCATATTTTTATTGCTGGATAATTATAGCTCCACTTGTAAAGGTGAACATATTTAAGCAAAGTGGGATCTTATACTGGGAATCATAAGACCTGAATTACTACTTTTGTTCTGATACATGTTAATTCAACATGTCTGGGCCTCAGTTTTTAAATAAAATATTAGGGATTCTGGAAGCTTGGAAGTGGAATGAGGCCGATCTTGAGCACCTAGCCATATTGGAGAATGGGGCCTGGGGGAGACTGCCTGGTGGATCTTCCCTCCTGAGGACTTAGGTGGGCACTGCAAAGGTCTTTCTCAAACTTTCTGTTTTCCTTGCTTCCTAGTTCATGGAGTATGTTTCACTTTAGCTTCTAAGTGCTGAAAAAGGATAAAATGTTACGTATTTTACAGGGTCCTTGTGAGGATAAAGTGTATTAGTAAAAGTGCTTTGAAAAAAATTGACTATTCCATGAAAATGTAAGGTATTAATTCTATTAAGGAGTGTTTAATTGAAGGTAGCCTATGTTTATCTGGGACCAGATTTGTAGAATAAATGTTCTTATAAATCAAATAAACAACACAAAAATTGAAGTTCGGGGAGGGGAGAGAGCTTGCAGAGGGACTGGAGATAGTGATGCAAAGAGAATTAACTTGTACTTTATTGGATAGGATAGTAATTACAAAACTCCTTTGATAAATTAACAAAAGAGAGTTCAAGGGAATGTAATCTAAGAGTTGAACATTAATTCACAATTTATTGTTTCCTGAAGCTATTAAGAGTCCCCTTTATGGCAAAGCGTTCTACCTTGGGAATAGAAAAATGAATAAAGTTCATCTATGCTTTTGTGTGTCTCAGAAAATAGGAAATACCTCAAAGGAGCAAAAATAGGATTTGACAGAAGAGGATCCACTCTGCTGTGGGATCATGGAAGAATCAGGAAGGCTTCACCAAGGCGGGGATGTTCGAGCTGGGTCTTGAAGAATAATTCAGACTTTCCAGCGGGGAAGGAAGGATGGTGGTGTCTAGGAACAGGGGTCAACCAAAGTTTGGAGGAAAGAAAGGAGGTCATTTATTTCAAGAACACTGTGTAAGTCATTTCAAGGGTATACAGTTTATATGTGGGATGGTGGGAAATGAGACGGAAAGATAGGTTATGCAACTGGGGAGGAAAATATATTTTAAAAGTTATATGAAACCTAAAACATGAATACCCCTCATATTCCTTCAGAGATGAAGTAGGAAACATAAAGCAGTGAAGATCACCAGGAGACAACAGTGGCAGAAGGGAGACTGGGTGCCCCCCTAAACGGGGCGGGATCACTGCAGGCAGGGTGCTGTCACATCTTTTGTTGTTGTTGTTATTGCTTTTATTTTATTTTTTTCCAGAGAAGCTGGGAATACAGATTTTTATGATGTTGGCATCTAATTCAAATTAAAAAAGTAAAATGCAGTTGGGTAAAAGAAAGCCTCTCTGTGAGTTTGGCCACAAATAATTCAGGACCACCAGTTTGTGACTTCTCCACAAAGCCTCTCTCTCAAATATTTTTGACAAGGGCAGGGCTGGAAATGGCTGCTTTCGCCTCCTTTTAGTCCACTAATCTCCGTTGCCAGGTACCAACAGCACCTGAGTTAGAACCTGCATTTTGGCAAGATCCCCAGGTGAATCATATGCACATGGAAGTCTGAGAGGTACCACTTTAAGTAATGGTTCTCAGACCTGGCTGCACAGAGAATCTCCTGAGGGGCTTTAAAAATGATGTGTGCCAGCCCCAGTCCTGGCTAGTTACACGTGACTCTCTGGAGCCAGCTTGCGCTGACTTACAGAGCCCACTGTGCACATCTCTACCCAGTTCCCCATTAGGGGACGTGTCATTGACTTGAAATCGGTCACGGCAGGAGTATCTACATGTGGAAATAAGCAGCTACAAATTAGGCCTTTGAAAAACACACACAGGGGTCCAGCCCGATGGCGCAGGGGTTAAGCGCTCGTGCTGTACTTTGGTGGCCCCGGTTTCGCGGGTTCGGATCCTGGGCGCACACCGACGCACTGCTTGTCAAGCCATGCCGTGGCGATGTCCCATATAAAGTGGAGGAAGATGGGCACGGATGTTAGCCCAGGGCCAATCTTCCTCAGCAAAAAGAGGAGGAGTGGCATCGGATGTTAGCTCAGGGCTAGTCTTCCTCACAAAAGAAATAAAGAGGAGGATTGGCGTGTTAGCTCAGGGTTGATCTTCCTCAAAAAAAAAAAACACACAGTTGTTTTCCAGCATACCACTGAGCAAAGACATTGAGTTTCCTTTTGTACAGTGATGGCACCATGAATGACAGGTGAGATAAAGTATATTCTTAATCATTTAGTTTAGTTACATGAATTACACTCAAGTCAGGAGTTACAGCTGACCCTCAGCATCCAGCTGTGGGCCAGCGTTGAGCCACGCGGATGTATAGTCCCTTTGATATACTTGCGTTACCATCCTGAGACCAACTGTCTTTGACCTACCGGTTGACTCACTCCCACACTACTCCCCAGAACTTCTTCCAACACGGAGCTAGCAGGAGTGGAGATTCTCTTCCCCCAAGAATAATAAATAGCATTAGCTTATGATTTTTCTTTTGTCACTAATATGAAGATGGGGTTGTGTTGCCATAGGAATTAGGAGCCGGGCCTTGGAAGTTCTGGCTCCGCCCTGCTCTCTGATCTGTTTGGTCAGATTCCAGCAGTGACCTTGCCGATTGCACTCTTTGGGCGCTGGAATTTACCTACCCTTATCTGCAGCCTATTCCTCCTCATTTGTCTCTGTCTGCCTCCTCCTTTTATCTCTTTCTTCGCAATATCTAACTGTTCCTCCAAATTCACTGTCTGAACACGTTCTGTTTTTTCCAGCTAAATTCAGGAGAATCAGATTTTGCTTCCCAACGACGGTCCCGAACATTTTGCTCTCTTCCCTGGGTTTCCATGAAGTTCTCTTTTCCTTCTTTTCTTTATGTCCCTGTCTCTTTCTTTATGTTCTGCCTTTCGATGGTTCTCACACTTCCTGTTGTTTTTGGAGTGTGTGCCCACTTAAGCCTAGCATGCAGTCTCTTCTCTTTCATCATTCGTTTCTGAATAGATGCTACAGTCAGGACTCTCACTTTTTTGCTGATGATTCTGAAATCAGTATCTAGTCATTATCTTAAGCCATAGTCTCTCACCTGATCTGAAGCCTGGGCATTTACGCGTGGATATCTTATCAGCGTCCAGCATTCTCTCGCCCTATCTTGTCCCTCTGCCCAGGGTCTAAACTATTGTTAATAGTACTGTGAGTCAGTCTTGTATTCAGCGTTTCGTGGGTATCTGCTGTGTGCACTGGGATATTGTAGGTGTTGAGAAAACGTGTCCTTGTGGAACATCCAGGTTTCAGTTAGTGCAAGGAAGCGTTCAGAGAAAAGATGGAGAATGCAGGGCACTTTGTTGATGTTAGGGTTCCAGAGTGCACAGTGAGAAAGCACAGTGGAAGTGTTCGGGATTGGGGGGCTTGAGTCAGAATGGGGGGTGTTCAGAGCCTAGATTGGGTCCAGGAGTGAGGGATGGTCTAGGAAAGTGGGACTCATGGTGACTCAGCTAAATGTGAATGTAAGGCACGGGGGGATTAAT